GATTTCCACTTTTTAGCTTTTTTTCGGTTTGATGGGGCACAAGAGAACTTTGGTTTGAGGAAGCACATTTCTGTTTATCTTCTTTTTTTTAATATAATCTCCTGGCATTCATAGTTTTTCCTTTGTAACATTCTTCTATGTTTCACAGACAACTTTATCTTGAACTTATTGTGGACCCACTCTGTTTTAGGGTACATCAGGTGTCTTGTAGATTTTCTTGTATTTGTTTTACTGATATAGCACGTGTAGTCTTGTTGGAAAGCCAGTGAATGCTATATCCATTGATGTTGCTTTTATCACTGTATAGATTGTTACATTGTCTATATATCTTTGTGATTTTGATCATGGTTTAGCTGAAGGAAAAACCAGGCAAAATGGATAAGTAACTCTTGCTATTGTGATACGAGGGCAAGGACAGTTGCCACTCCGGATCACATACAGAAGGGGCCACTAGTGGGATGGGCACCCAAATTATAGTCTGCTTATGATAGGAAAAACAAGTTCATAGGCTAGGGATAGTAGGTATGCATAAACCTGGTTAAGTGATCAGAAGCTGGTTTAAACCTGCAACAGGACAGATGTTCAGTGCATATAAACCAGTTTGAAAATGGCTAAAACTAATTTAAGATAAACCTGGTTGCATGTAGTATCAGACTTAACTGATTTAGGTCAAACCAGTTTATGAAACTTCTATCCCAGACCCATTCATGTTTCAAGTTAAATTGGAGTCCCTCAGCATCCCAGCATGCGTTGCAGTCCTGGGCTGTGCTTTCTGCTCCAAAGAGCAGAGCTGGCCCCACCCCTCTGTTCCCTAGCTGGAACAGTGAAGGCTGGCTCACTGGCCCTCCCCCCCAGGCAAACCCCAGCTGGGGTCTGGGGCTAGGGAGGGGGGTTAAATTCACCTCCTCATAGGGCAGGGGAGGTACAGTTCTGCACTGCCCTGCTTACCTACTGCTGACTGCAGCTGTGGACTATGAATCCCAGAGGTGCCTGAAAGCAGGAAGAGGAAGTGATGAGCAACCCTGCAGAGTCCTGCTGCTGTGATTGTGGGCTGCAAATCCCAGAGACCTCAGGGGCAGCAGGAAGAGGAAGCAAACACACAGCCCATGCTGCTATGTGCCAGAGAGCCATGCTCTAGTGCCCTCCGGCTTCTGGCTTGAGCAACTGCAGGCGTGCGGCTGAAATTCCTGAATCAAAAGTGAATATCTGCTTATTGGTTCAATCTTTGCAGCTTAGACTAACCTGCAATGACTAAATCATTTCAGCCTCAGGCTTTTTAACAATGTAATTAGCCACTAGGGCTGTGTAAAGCTTCAGTTGCTGATTCGATTTGGCGGAGATTCGGCCTGGTTTGGCAGCCAAATCTCCAAATCCTAATCGAATCTGGAGACCCTTTAATTTTTCTGAATTGAATTGGTACCCTCTGAATTGATTCAGAGAGATTGGAAGATTTGGATGTAGAGACAGCTTTAAATGCTTTTCTACATACCTCAAGGTACCAGGCGGCTTGTGAATGCTGAGACGGTGGGGCAGCGGGAGCGTCCCACAGGAGTATGGGGGGGTCCCCAGCATGCTTGGCAGCGGACCCAGAAGTAGACCAGAAGCCCTTCATGAGCAATTAGAATAATGCTAATGAGGAGCTGGCTGAGGGGTATTTTAGGGTCTAACTACAATAGGACTAAGGTTTTTGGATCCCAGACTTTTGAGTGTCTTCAGCAGTCAGGGATGGCAAAATTCGCAGGAAGGCTGATTTCTTGTAATAGTGGCAGGACTCTCAGGAGGAATAGTATGTAGCCACATGAGAGTGTAAGAAATTGTATTTGTCTTGGCTTTTTTCTCTCGCTAAACTTAGGGTCACTTTTTCTTATAATTCATTTCTACAAAACAAATCTTTTTGTTGTTTTGTTTCCTTACTGATTGCCTATGGATAAGAGTGATATCTGGGCGAGTGATATTACCCATTCTGTAGAAAGAAGGACCTAAAATTTCTGTTATAACCCCAACAGGAGGCTACCTTAGGCTGGCAGAGATTCCTCTGCTGCATGTGCAGTCCAGTAAAAGGGCAGTGGAGCTGAGGCTAAGGATAAATAAGTATCCCAGGGCAAAAAGTAGCAAGGTAGTGGGGAGAAACTCTGGGCTCTAGATGGGTTTGATGGGTTTGTGATAGACCTGTTCAGTAATCTCAAATATATGGGGTTGAGTGGTGAGTTCTTAATTGACTTCAAATCCTGTAAAGTGCATGTTCTCTTAAGTTAGGGCTGTTTTTAGCACAAATATTCTGTAGCAGAGCCCAGGGAAATCAAGGAATAAGTTTACTTGCATGCAGTTATTGTCAGTTGTAACAAACTTATTTTCTGAAGCTTAGCATGACCTTGTTAAGTCCCTGTATAGTATTATTGAGTTTATTTTTTTCCTCTTCATTCTATTTCACAAAAAACAAAGCAAAACCAGAATCATCTGTCACTAAAGTAAGGTTTGTTACTTTTTATTGGCTTTTGTTTAATTTGTTTAATAAAGAATTGATTGCTCTTTGTACTGTAATTGTGTCTGTATAAGACATTTCTTACACACTTATCACAACATAAATTATTTAGGGCTTTTACTGTAATTTCTTGATAGTCTGTGGACAGATACTTAAAGCGTATGGTCTATAACCAGTGGGAAAAGATAAAGCAGAATACTGTACCTTGTGGAATTGCATTGTATTCTCATTTCACTTTTCAAAGAACTCAATGACTTACACCAACACATTTTTGTGTTTTAGTCATAACCATCATTCATTAAATATTAACTAGAGGTGATGTTTTGCTTTTATGTTTTATATTTTAAGAAAGTTTCTTAATTTGTGCACTAATCTTAAACTGGAACTTGTTCATATAGTCAACTGGTAGAATTCTGATTTCAGAGTGAAATAATTATAATAACTAATAATCTGATTTCAGAGTGGAATAATTGCTAATGATTAATGTTACACTCAGACCTAGGAGCTTTAGTTATGGTGTAGCATGACAACATGCTATACTTTCACAGGACTAAAAGACAGCCCCCTCTCTAAAGACCTGTACACCCTATGAAAAGAGGCAATAGATGGAGAAATGCAAGTAAGCAATGATATTGTGTTGATCTGCATGATAGGGAGGAGTCACAGAGCACGAGCAGCCTAACTGTTAAGTTATTTTGTAGGCCCCACAGCAAAAGCCAGTTTTAAGCAGACATTTGAAGGAAGATAATAATGTAGTTTGTCAGATATTTATGGGCAGCTCCTCCCAATATGAGAGGCAGCATGGAAGAAAACACGTAGGTTCCTTGAAAATCTAATAAGTGGACTATGGAAATTTGCATAACAGTCTGATTGGAGGCAAGTTAACCTTTTGAAACAGAATGAGATGTTGGGTGGGGAAAACAGGACGTAGAAAGTTGAAGATGAGAAGGTTTGTTGGATGCAATAAAGAAAGGGGAAACTACAGAAGAAAGGGAGGGATGAGTAAAGGGAGGGAACGGGCTTGTAAATGATTTTTGCAGCAGTGTTCTGGGTGGCTATCAGTGAGGTAAGATTGCACTTCTCAAGGCTAGAGAAATGTATGTTGTAGCATCAGTGCATGGACATGAGTTCTACCTGTGCGGCTGGCTAGAAAGGCTGTACCATGGATAGATTGTGCACAAAGAACATGCAAAACAGATACAGCCTGGATGAAAGGGAGGCTGAATCAAAGATGAGAACCAGGAAACAGACCTGAGTGATAGGTAGGATGGTACAAATATCAATTCGTTGTCATGAGAATATGTAAATTTGATTATGTGCTTAAACTGTTTTTTGGTCACACGGGTTGAATCCAGTTATAAAATTAGATAATACTTTGATTTGGTTCTAAGGAACATTACGTGAGTTATTTCCAAGTTCCATTTGTTTGAACCTTTTTGTCCTTTACAGCATAAATTCTTTGTTTTAAAGAGGCTGTCTTATTGTGAAAAGAAAAAAAATTAATTCAGTGCAGCAACAGGAGATCTAGTCTACTACTGAATGTAAATAAGCTCCTCCATGCTTGTCATCTTACACCGATAGTATCGTAAGACAAGTAATGACAGATTAAGACCTGCCTAGCAGAGGGAAAACTAAATTACAAGACTTTTATTAAGGCATAAATAAACCTATTAGCCGTTATCTGGAATACCAATTAGTAGAAGGAGCACTGACAATTTTATTTATCAACATTAAACACAATTATTAATTACAGACCTGACGAATCTAGCAGTAAGCAGGACATGTTGGGTGTGCTGGGGCCTTAAGTCCATTATATGAGAAGGATGATTACCAAAATCCTGTGGGGAAATAAGTAATTGTAGCTGTAAAATTTTAATTGCCTTGGAATAAGGTAAATTATATTCTCTTGTCTCAGAATATAAATAGTGTGGCATTAAGGTACCAAGCCTCACTAGTTTTAAAAAACAAATGATTTAGACATCTGCACTGGGGGAAAAAAAGGGGAAAACAGTTATGAATGTGCATTGTAAATATTGCAATAAAGTGATTTACCTTTTACTGTCAAATATGACACATGAAAAGATGTCAGGCAGTGTGTTTGCTGGAAATTTTTTCTGTGCTTTATTAATCCAAAGACTGCAATATTGAAAAAAGACCTAAGACTACAATGGAGGAGAACATAGAACTAGTTAAAAAAATATACATTGACAAAATTGGACCAAATTCTGTCCTTGTATATGTGTACATGTAGCTGCAAAGCAAGTCAGTAGAATTAGTATGTTCATATATTAAGGTGGAATTTGGCCCAGATCCTTACTTGGGGAAAGCTCCTTTTGATTGTAATGAGAACTTTTTTTGATTTAAGGAGTAAAATATCTAGCCTGATGAGATCAGACTACCTCTTTCAAGTTTATTGGCTATATTCCCACCAAAATTATTTAAGTCCATACAGCTTTGAAAAATGAGTCTAATAAATAATCTACCTGATATGTTTTTCTTTCTTTTTTTCCCCTTAAAGATCCAGATTCCTGGCTTTGTGGGCCCTTACTCATCAGTGCAGCCAGGAATTCTTTTTCAAAGCTCATGGACAAATTTAACATAATAATGGAGACTGTACAACTGGATAACAGCAGGAGTATTACGTATATAGAGAAGGACTCCTTGGTGCAGAGACTAGCTTGTGGACTTCATAAAATAAATGCACAGGCCCTGAAAGCTGGATTAAATGAAAGAGTACCCATTACGGTATGCATATTTATAGTGTTGATTCATACAAATATCAAGTTCACATCATAATTATTTTAGAGATCTCATGGTAATTATATTTATTTCATTTCCAGATTGATCTTTGCAGCTGATTTTAATTTACATTTAACTTGTATAGAACATTTATATGTTGTGTTATACCACCTTAAAAGACTGAAGTCTTGAGTTGTTGTACCTTTTAATGTAAAATTAAAGGATTGTATGACATGAGATTTGATAGTATACCTAGGTGAATATAATTTTTTTCTTCTAAACTCTATTAAAACAGGTAACTTTCTGTGTAAGAACATCCTGTAATTGCTTTTATTTACATTTTTAAAACGGAAGTTTTTCTTCTTTTTTTGTTTTCACATTGCTTCTTGTAGTATGCTTTTGCTAAAACCAAATAAATATTCTGTCTTTCCAAAAACTAAGGAAGACTGTTTGTCTCTAAATATCTACCCTTGTTTGTGGGAATTTACTGAAAACTGATACTTTAAAATTTTTTTCAGTAACCCACAACAGCAGGTGAAACAGTGCTTCATTTTTGCATGCGTGTGTTTTTGGGTGAGTGCAGAATGAAAGCTTTGTTTAATTTACTTATTAGATGCTATTGATTTATTGCTAAAATAGCACATTATATAGCACATAAAGTTGTTTCTGTTTCCTGACAGAAAAGCATAGCATCTCTGCAGAAGCAAATATTTGAATTTACACAAAGGCTGCATACAGCAGAAGTGGAACGTCGTTCACTCCGTTTAGAACTTGCAGAATTCAAACAGAATTTGAATGAGATGAAAAAAGAGGCTGACAAAGCCCAGAACCTGCAAGAGCAATTAAATGCGTTTAAGCAATCTGTAAGTATATTTGATTTAGAAAAGACCTCCTTTTTATACACTTTTGATTTGTGTTCTTTAGAAAAACAAGTATAAAACCAATCTATTAACAAAATTTTCCAGAAAACTTGCCTTGTAAATGTCACCAAGGTATAAGCCAGATGTATTTCTAAAAGGTGGCTCCTTTCTACAAAAGAGTCTCTTTAATTTATAGAATAAGTTATTCTATGTAAAAAAAAAAAAAAAAAAAAAAAA